CGGAGTGCAGGTTCAAGTGCCTCGGTGAAGTTTGGAATCTAGAGATGAAGAAAGCATCTGCCTGGAGGAAAGTACATGAGGAGGTGTGATTTCCACAACAGCTACAAACAAGAGGTACTAACAGCTCAGTGGGTCTGAAATAGACACAGAGACCAAAATTCCCAAGTGCAAAGAGGTGGGGGAACTTCTTGCCGCCATCCGAAAGCCATTCCTCAAAAGAATGGACATCCCATAAATACCCGCAACGTCTCCGTGATTTATTCACAGGCCTGCTGATGCATATTACAGTATTTAGCTTTAAAAACGTTAACCGGGTTTCAGTTTGCCACCAGAGCGGCGTGTCCATTAACCTTACTTAATCATTTGCCAGGCGGATGGGCACAACGATGACTAACTCTTGGCTTGTGTGAAGACCAGTGGTTCAGTGTTCCAGTCTGCAAGGTAAATAGTCAGGCCGATGCTCTGAGTATTACCCAGCTGAGTGCATAGTGTGGGAATCATTTTGTGATTCAGAAAAACACACACACAGCTATAAAATCATGTATCTGTGCGGGTCTGACTCACACTTCAGACGCATTTATTTAGGGATTATCAGTTTCACAGAACACAAAGGGTCCCTCTTGCTATTTTTGTTGTCCAGACTTGCCTAAAGCATGTCATCGTGCAGTTTAATATCACGGTGGATTCTGATGGTGGTTTGTACGCACCAAGAATACTGCCGTATAAGGGAGGCAGTAGCGGAGGTGGGCCTGGAAGTAGCCCCAGTCCCAGCCCTGCCAAGAAACAGCCCCATGACTGTGGGCAAGGAACTGATCCTCCTTGGGCCTCAGTTTCCTTATAAAAACAGGAGCTGGTCTCACTACAGATCTCTGAAGTTCTTTCCAATTGTAAAATTCGTTGTTTCATTCCACCATCAAAGGCAAGGGAATGACAGTGAAGGGAACTGTGGGCTCCTATTGATGGCACTGGTCTTGATCTATCTTTTTCCTTTTCATGAACCAAAGTCCTGCTCAGGGCGTAGAGCAAGGCAGCCATCGGAGATGCTGGGAGGGATGAAGGGACCAAGATCTCCAGGGTCAGAGGGACTGCTGGTTTTTATCAGTACACTTGGACTTAACTGTGTGCTTGACATCCTTCTAAGTGCATTAGAAACGCTAACTCATTTCATCCTCAGGCAGCCCTGGAAGAAATCTCAGCACCACTATTAATCAAACTTGACAGAGAAGGAAACTGAGGCCCAGAGAGGTTAAGTAACTTTCCCATGGCCACACTGGATGCCTAGTGAAAGATTGAGCTGGGATATGGCCCAGGGAGTCTGACCCTAAAAACTACCCCTCAGAGGTCAAGATCATAAGCTCTACCATGTTTTTAATGCCTTCGTACCCATAGGGAACCCAGTGGACAAATGAGGCTGCCAACAGCGGAAGAAGTTATCATGGGCCATCAAGAAAAATTACCGATCTCCAGGGTAGTCCCAGGCTCGCTATTCCAAAAAGTCTTCGCGAAGAAGATAGATACTGCTTGGGACCACCCCATCAGGAGGCTGGGAGGCTGCCAGATGACCCCAGGTTGCCCGGGATTCCTGGTACCTGTGCCAGCCTGCAAAAGGGCAAGAGTGGAGAGTGGCTTGGATGGTAGGAATGTGGTGTGCCCACCCGGAGGTGGGGGTACCTGGGTACATGGGGGTACATGAAGAGCTCAACTTCATCCCTTCCCTGACCCTGGCATGCATCAGTGGGCTAGCTGCTGCTGCCAGATGCCACCCACCCGGGGACTGCAGAGTAAGTGGTCAGTAGAGGAATTCACTGCTTTCTAAGTGCATTTCCCCTCCCCCACCCACCCCCACCTCCAGGATTTCCAGTCTTCTGTTTGTGTGTGATTTTTCACATTATTGTGGACTCAGTTTTACTTCTTCAGGGGTGGGGACTCAGCCTCATTGGTCTTTGTCTGCTCAGCAGCTGACAGTATGTTTGCCTAATGAATGAATGATACGCCGCAGACCAAATGACGTCTGTTTAGCTGACAAGTGGAAACCACCACGTACTGAACATCGACTACCAATTTGGCGTTCAAGGTAAATACAGACGTGTTTCTAAGGAAGTATTTTTGGTTTGGGGGGTTTGTTGTTTTTGGTTTTTTTGGTTTTTTATTTTTACAAAATGACTTGGTAAGCTAATCATTTTTAATAATTACATCTGGATTCTAAAGCACTCTTCATTTTAGTCTCTAGACATCTAGTATTTAACCACATATGTTCTTCTGTAATACACTTTTTCTCTTCCGTGAGCTTCCCTCTTTCTTAAGGGAAAAGAGTGAAGACAGCTTTTAAGCTCAGTTTGACATAGTACTTCTGATCATTTCACCCCGCGTGCCTTCTGACTTTTCATTTCCTTCTAACACGTTCGACTTTTGATCTGCAAGCACAAGGGCCGTACTTTTATTAGGGTTTAATTTACTGTAAAGCTCGGTGTTCCTGTGAATCAAGCCATAATAGGTGAATAATCACAGGCTTCAGCCAGCCAGGTTTTAGTTCTACTGAGTAACTAGGAAACCGACTAATAACAGGAAGGTTAAAAAATGTTGGGAACCCTGATATCACCCCAGAGCTAGGATAAGCCATTTTATTACGTGTGCATGACTGTCCAAGCATAGAGGGGGATCAGCCACAGCATGGAACCAAGGGCACAGAGGGAAATCAAGGAGCGACAGGGGCTTGGGTTGGAGTCAAGATTTGGTGTTGGCGTGTGACCCCACTTCCTCTCCCCAGCCTCCCACATCTCCTTCAGCTCCACCATTCATGCCTGTGACCAGATTATTTTCAGTTGGGCTTCACACATTATGTCGGAGAAGGTAGAGCTGATTTCTTTTTTCACATATATGGTATTTTTTTCCCAAGGGTTTTTCATAAAGTGAAAAGGGAAGAGCTTAGGAAAAGAAAATTAATAGCTGTATCATTTTGAGATTCTCTCTACTACATACTCACGGCTCTGATAAATTCTTTACACATTCAGTTCTACGGAGAATGTTCATTACAGCCTGATGACATAGGTTCCATAATCCTCTTTTCTTCTGTAGAGGAGAGAATTGGCCCCAGCCGTCACAAGTCAGAGCAGAAGGAAAAATCATACTCAGGAACGGATTGTCTCCCACACTCCTCTTTTGATGTCTTTCTGGTCAGATATGTTGGAACACTGCCCAGTCTGAGCAGAACTCCCCTCCAAGCCTCCAGCCCACACCGGCCCCTCCAGGAGGGAAGATGGCTTCCCCAAAAAGCCGTGGACATCAAATGACTCAGGGAGCCTCTGAGCTTGGGCAGAACACCCAAGGTCATGGCAGCTGGTGCTACAGCAAAGGAAGAAGCAGTCCCACTTAGGGTCGCTGAGCTTAACAGGATGGCTGTAGGCATCAAGCTTCTCAGACACTATCAAGGGCTGAATGAGTTGCCTGGGGAAAAAGTCCCTCTATTAGCTATAGCAGTGGCCCAGATGAGTCAGTATTTTCTGCTACAGAGAAAAAAAAGTAGCATACTCTTCACATCTCCATGGTAACTTACTATGGATCTGCATTCCATTTATGAAACTCCTTCTTGACCTATCTATGATTTCTGATCCAGGACTGAATAAAAACTGAGAAGCCATCAGAATCAAATCAGTCTCCTAGAAACAGCAATACTCCCCTGCACCTGGGCTTTCTGAGCTGTGTAGACCCTGCCTCTGACTCATGCCTAGTAACACCTGAAGACCCTCAGGTGCCTGGAAACATTACAGTGCACTAGTATATCAATTATCCGGGTAACTCCGGATTTAGGGTTGCCATGGAAACCGGCAGCCTTGGCAACCGAGAAGGGAGATGGCTCTTCTCCCTTCCCAGCACTGCAGTCCCTGAGATAGATGCGCCAACTTTCAGTCCCTTGGCCTTCCCCAAGCCGGATTGTTTTATTTTTTACCACCTTGAGGAATCCAAATTTTTCTCCAAAATATTGAGAAGCTGAGTAGGAAATGCACTTATTTCTACGCATGGACTCAATTGTAGCAATGGAAACCAGCAGTAGGGGTAATGGTTTTGACCGTGATTGGGACTCAGATAAACTTGAGTTTCAACCGCGAATTTCCCATTCATACATTTTATGACCCGGCAAGTTATTTACCCTAAGGTTCAGCTTCCCTTACACTTTAAGTGGGAACAGTCACGGTTTGGAGAACGATAAGCATTCATTCGCCTGGAGCAGCTCCGCCAACGCCGGTTACCATCCAGGCACTGCCCAACTCTAGGGGGCGCCCCTCACACGATGCCGGAGGCTTGGGGCTTCCCGGAGCCGGGCAGGCTCAGCGACCCAGCCAAGGGCCCAGCTCGGACCTTTATCATCTCAGACGCATTTCGTGATAGAACGATGAGAAATCGTAAGGCCAAAAGGAGATTCAGAGATGGGGCCGGTGTGAGCCCCTTATTACCCAAGCACCGCGGCCACTCGGTGCCACCACCCCTCAGGACAAGGGTGGGGGAAACCGAGTCCTCCCAGGAGAGACTCTCCGCCTGACCTCCCCCGGCTCCCACCCGCTCGGGGCGCCGGGCCTGCGGTCCCCGCGCACCGCGGTCCCAGAACAGCAGGCGAGGGACAGAGCCAGGTGACAGCGGGCGCGGAGCAAGGTCCCGGCCGGAAGGAGCCGGCTGCGCCCCCGCTCCCCTCCCTCTACTCCTCACCCCTCCTCTCTGCCCTCCCTCTCCGCCCCTCCTTCTCCTCCGCTCCCCTCCCTCCTCTCCCTCCTCCCCCTCCTCTGCTCTCTCGCTCCCCCTTCCTCCCTCTTCCACCCCTTCTCGGCTCTCTCCCTCCCCTCCACTCCTCTCACCTCTCGCCGCCCCTCCTCCGCCCCTCGCTTCTCCTCCTCCCTCCTCCCCCTTTCCTCCTCCTCCTCCCCTCCTCCACCCCTCCTCTCTCTCCTCCTCCCATCTTCTCCCCTCCTCTCTTTCCCCTCCCCCTTTCCCCTCCTCCCCTCCCCTCTGTCGTCTTTTCTCCCTCCTCCCTCCTCCCCCTGCTCTGAAGAGCGCGCCGCGAAGGGGACTGGCCGGTTACTTCCTCCGGTGGCGGCGCAGAGCGCGGCGCGGCCCATCCTCGAGCTCCTGGAGCCGCCTGCCTGCGCCCGGCCAGCGTCCCGGCTCCCGGCCCACCGCCCAGGTGCCCGCACCCGCGGCCCGGACCCCCGCCCCGCCGCCCTCGTCCTGGTCAGCGTCCGCCGCGCACCGCGGAGCCGGGCCCGGAGCCGCCGCCGGCCCTGCCCGAAGCGGCGCGGTAAGAGCGGGGCCCGGGGCGGGCGGCCGGGAGGGCCGGGGGTCCTCTCCCGGGGACCCAGACCCCGGGTGGGGGACGTGGGTAACCCAGAGGTCCGGATCGCGAAGCGCAGCCGGGGTCGCGGCGGGGCGGCGACTCTTCCCCGGCTTCGGGCTCGCCCCGGGTGCCGGGGCGGCTCGGGGGCGGCTCGGGGAGGGGGGCCCGGGCCGGATGCCGGTGGGCCCGGCGGTGACGCGCCGGGCGGGCTGCGAACTTGGGCCGTGGCCGCGGCTAGCCGAGTGGACGGGCAGGGCGCGCCAACCTGTTTCACTTGCTTTTGTTTTTAAAAGGAAATGCGGGTGTGTTGGGGGGCTTCTTCCAGAGGGCGCCCTGCGGGCTGATTTCGCTGCGGGTTTCGCTGATTTCTCTGCCGGTGGCTTACCCGAGCGCTCCGGGCCCGGTGGGATGGGGGGCGCCCGGCGCCTACAACACCTGGAGGCTGCAGCTCCCCGCAAACGTGCCGCGTCCCGGCTCACCTGCTCCGCCACTCCCGGGCCCGGCCAGGGGCGGCGGAAGAGGGAGGCTCCAGGAGGGGAGACCCCCACGGGCGCCCCGGGACTTCTGGATCGGGGCCCTCGGCGCCGCGAGGCGAGCGTGGGATCCCGTGGGAAACGCGGGTGTGGGTGCGCGCGGCTGTCTTTATTTTCGCGTTCTTAAAGGATTTCGAATTCATACTTAGAAATGTGGGGTTTTTGGTTTTGTTTTGGATTTTGTTTCTATCTCTCTCTTTTAAGCACAGGAAACTTAAAATATTGGCCTATATTCAGTTTCAGGGTAGCTTAAACTGGTAGTGACGAGCTACTTATTTAGAAAGTAAAGAAGTGAGCCCTTTGGAGATAGAGGTAATTTATTTTAATTCACCAGTAAGAGGTTATGTTCGTCTTGGACAATGCAAGCGCCCGTGCGCTATCTGCCTGTCCACAGCTCTACCAATCAGGGAGATAAATCTCCAAGTTAAGGTTTATTAAAATTCTGAGTAATATCACAGTACAGTAAATGTTAGCACTGTGGGCCCTGCAGGGAAATATTCACTCATTTTTGGCGTTAGTCATTCGTCTCTCCAAACCGATAACTTTTGAAAGAAAGAGCAAACCAACCTTGCAAAGTGGCAAATGGGTTTGTTTTTGGTTTTGTTTTTCTGATTTACCTAGATACTAACCTGTGCCTTGATCTCTCTGGTAAAGGATCAGTCCTTCCAGAAAGGGTACTTTTGTTAGGCTCTTTGTTTTAAAATTTCACTCTTCTCAGCTCACACATTTCTGCCCGGTTTTCTTTTTTTGTTCAAAAGCAGCAATCAGTAGGGTAACACCACCTTGCCCTAAATTTGAAATTGATTTGGGCAGAGGAACTTGCCCTCTTAAGTGAACTTCAATTTCCCTCCTTATGTGTCTGCCTGAAACCAGTGGAGGGACACTTTGATTCCCCATGGTTTTTACAAAACAGGTTAAAAGCTGGACAACAAAAGAATTGTATTCTGTAGCTAGTAATTAGAGCTCTTTATGTGGGAGTGGTAGACTGCTTTTGCTCCTGGTATTTGTACCCAAAAATCAGGGGGACTTGACCCATTGCCTTCCATACCAATTCTCTGTCCACCTCTGTGAGGCTGAGAAAATGTACGCTAAAGTCACCAAGTTGTCTGCAAACCAGACTTAGAAAAAGAGCTGGCCTAGTGGGCTCAGGAGGGATCACTGGTAACAGTTAAGGTGTGTTTTCATGTGGGTCTTCTGAGGTTTGTTTATTTAATCAACAGGTAATAGGATTTAGTTCCTGAAGCTCAGACTTAAGGGCCATGTTCCATGGGAAATAGTGGTGAGCTGTGCCGGGGTCTAATAATATTTGCATGTGCTCTTCACTCCTTAGTGATGTGCTGGGAGAAGGCCCATGCCTCAGCATCCCAGTTACCTTCTCACGGAGGAGGTCCGCCGGGACTGATCTGCCCTGTGCCCCCTTAGTTAGCCCTGCAGTAGCTGTGTGATCCTGGGCAAGTCATCAGAGGTCTCTGGGTCTCCCTTGCCCTGTAGGATGCAACATCACTGTAAAATGTTGACAATATCCATCTCTCAGAAGTGCCAGGAAGATTCAGTGAAGGGGGAATGTGTGGTCGCCCAGCGTGGGCTTAGCTGTTGTCAGTAGGATCCTGTCCAGTCGGGGGTCATTAGTAATGCATATTGATTCCTGAGTGCACGTGGATGACATGACCCACTAAGAGATTCTGAGCCAACGTGGCCACTTTGGATCCAGAACAGATTCCTTCCTCTGCTCCCTTCTTGCCCCATAGGATGATTAATTTATTGTTTACTGATTTATTATTTATTAATTTAGTCCAGCCTTCACAGGTCACCATGACAATTGCTCGTACTCTGAGGGTTTCACCAGTGCCTCTTGCCTGCTCTGCGGCCTAGACTCCCCTCCCACGTTGCCTTTCTAGTCGCGGGTGTCTGTGTGTGTGTGTATGTGTGTGTGTGTGTGTGTGTGTGTGTGTGTGTGTGTGTGTGTGTGTGTAGTAGTTGGGAGGTCTGGTTGAGCCATAATGTTGATCATAAAGAGAAGACAAAGTACAAACTTGAAGTAGTCACAGAGAAATGTCCTACTTGCCACCTCCAGTAAGCCCTATCAATTGCACAATATTTTAATTACTCAGAGTTCCTGGTTGTAACAGGTGGCAGCGCCCAGGGGAGATTATGGGGGAAGACAATTAGGGGGACCCTGTAAAGCTGCCTATAGACCTTTGGTTCCAAAGCCGGAAAGCCAGGATTGGGGGGGGCGGTAAGGCATGCCCCTTGGGGTAAAGGTTACTGTCATTCATGCTAGCCCAGCTTCTTCAAAAAGGAGTTTTAGTTTCAGTCTCTCTGTATTTTTATATACCGCTCTGGTGGCTTTATCTTGGTACCTTTCTTACTTATTAATGTAGAACTGAACCGGCCCGTCCTCTGTTAGGGCTCTAAGTTCAGTTTTTGGTCTCCAGTGGTGCCCAGTTGCAAGCCACATAAAAACTAGAAGTTTCCTAACAGCCACATTCAATGTTAGGAAAGTAAGTGGAGTTAATTTCAGCATATCTCCATTAACCGGATACATTCGTATATTACATAAACGTGTAGTAAATACAAAGTCATGACTGAGAAACTTTACTTTTTTCTACCAAGGCTTTGAAATCTTGTGTATTTTACATGCGGAGCTCATCTCGGCCCATCCTAGCCCGGTGCGAGTGCTCGGTGGCCGCAAGTGGCTGGTTAGTGCCGCGTGGGTCAGCGCAGGTCTGTCTCGCAGAAGCAAGTAAAGACTGCGCCATCCATGACCAGCATTACTTGCCCTTGGAGAAATGAGCAGCTGAGCAACACACAGAGCAGACCTCTTTGGAGTTGGTGTAGTCCCCACGGGAGGGTCTGGGACAACATGGGGGGTTTGGCCTGGAGCAGTGGCTCTGGGAACCTGCTCTGTCCTTACGGGGAGTTCTTCCTCAGCGGGGAGGGGTGGGCCCTAGGAAGCTCTTTCCAGCGTGCTGACCTGGATCTGGGTCCTCCAGGGCTTCCTGGGTTGAGCTGACTGCTTTCCCCTCCCCCTGCCCCCAGCAGATGGGAGTGGCCTGTGCCTGCCTGGCACCCCTCTCTCCCGGAGGGTGTCCTGCACCCTGAGCCGACCGTGGACATGGCAGTGAAAAGCAGTGCACCCCGCTCCCATCATGGGAAGACGAGGTCCTCCTGGCCTAGCTCCCCCAGCCAGGTTCCCTTGGGAGGCCCTGACCCGCCAGCCAGAAAGTGACTTTATCTGTGTGCTTTAACTCTAAGTGGAATTCTGGAGAGAATCAGCGTTATTATTTAATTACTCAAATAGCCTACCGTTTGTGAAAAGGGCTTTTTACGTAAGAACTGGCATTCAGGTTTGAATGACCTGTCTTGCTGTAGACCTTGACAGACTCCCCCAGAATTAGGGTTGATGAAGCCAGTAAAGACTCATTAGAAATGTGCGTGATTTGTTTCCCCCATAACTCTTCTTTATGTCTTTTCCTTTTCCTTTTCTTCAAGATGAATGACTTTGGAATCAAGAACATGGACCAGGTAGCCCCTGTGTCTAACAGTTACAGAGGGACACTCAAGGTAAGTGAGCAAGTCTTCATTTAAAACCTCTTCGAAAACATTGGAGAACTGTATCTCTAGGAAAAAAAAAGACACATGCTGGGTTCTAGAAGACTGGTTCTTGCCCTAGCCTTTTAATTTATGGGCTGTGTGACTCCAGATTGTTTGCTTAAGCTCTCTGGGCCTCAGTTTTCTAGTCTATAAAATGGGTCTCCTGATGCTTGTTCTACTTGTCTTCCAAGATATGAAATCATTTAATTTGCAGATGGGGAGGCTTTGTGGTTTATTTCTGAGATTCCTGGTAGGTGAAAAATCCTATGATTCTCAGTAGGACAGAGCTCTTAGAGAAGCTGTCTCCACTGCTATTCAGTTCCCCAGTGAGTTTTCCCGGGGCGATGGGCTGGCTGTAAAAGAACTGGAAAGGAAAGAGCTGAGTGGTGGATAACCAGCCCCGCTGGGGGGCTTCTTCCCTTCAGAAGGGCCGGTGCCCTTGGGGCTGCAGGTACCCTGTCCTCCCTGCTACAGAGAACAGCGTTGCCTGTTGGCGTAAACCAAAACACAGATGAACAATGAAGGAGCTTTTTCCAGTGCATAATAACCAAATTTCATGTAGCTGCTATCTCAGTTCCTTTGGGGAACGTTCTCGAGTAGCACAAACTGATCATTTCCCCTTTGCCTTCTCCAAACATGACAGTGAGATTGGATTGTTTTCTTAGCATGGTGTAGTAAACACGTTTCAGGGCTGCGATTTTTAGACTCGCTTCCTCCAAGCCTGCAGAGTGATGTATCTCTGTCATGTTGGATTTTCTGCTGTGAATCCTTAGCAGGTTATTTGTCTGGGAGAGCCCAAAGAGCCAAATATGGGTACAGAGGCTGTATGGTGAAGGTCATGTGTGGTTGAAGATCATGAAACTTCAACCCAGCCAGTTCTCTGGTTTGATTTGGTCAGCTGTTTTCAGTGTGGCAGAAACCATATGAGAAATTGCACTATGAAGTTTGTAACCATACCCCTGGGAAGAAATATTCTTCTATAAGTTAAAAAGGCTTCGATGATGCCCATGTGATTTCTGGGTTTGGAGAAGAAACAGTTATTGCTGAAATTGAGGTGTTGAAATACTCAGTGCGAATTTGTATTGTCTTTTGGCTTCCTGATTTTTAAAAAAAGAACTTCCAGGAAGGAAAGGAGAGGCATTTCTTGGTCACCCGGGGAAAGGCTAGTGGGAATTTTAAAAACTGATGGGCTGTTTCACCAAAATTAGCCCTGAAGTAGTTCATATGTCTAGGTACGGATTTCGAACATGATTGGTTCTCCCCTTAGGGTTTTGGCAGTTGGACATTGTTGTCCTGGACTTTGGGGGGCTGGCCTCCAACATCATTGGGACATCATTGCCTTGAGTGTTTTCAGCAGAGTCCCAACTCCTGCCTGCCTTCTTACGTAATGCGTCATTCATTGTTCTGCATTTCTAAGAAGAAAGCACACAAACCAATTTTATTTGTAAATGTGTTGCACATTTTTTTAATTGATGACTCAACAGATGGGTCATTGTGTTACACATAACATGGGCTTTCCAGTTTATGCTGGAAAAATATAACCATCTTTTACGTTGTTCCTCAGCAAGTCAGGCAGTGATGAATCAAGACTCTTCTCTGTTACTTATCAACCGGTCTTACACTAAAGGCTATCTCTTTCATAAATGTTAGACGAATTATCAGAGATCAACACACAGTATCTTTTTCTGTGTCTCTGTCCTCTTCCTCCCCCTAAGCTATAGAGAGCTTAACTTGAAACCTCTTTTCCTTTGGAAATCTTTCCCCTTAGTTGATGATGTGGGGCAAGGGTCTTTTCAAAATCTCTACATTTATAAAATTAAACCTTTGTGAGGAATGTTTTCATATGTATTACTATCTTCTGAACCATTGGAATTGATAAGGGGGGGAAAATCTAGTTTCAATTAAAGTGTTTCACAGTTAAACATAAAAATAAATGCTTCCACAAATAGTTTAGCTTACTGTTTGTTTTCCAAGTTTCATTCAGTCATCTGCCTTCGCTTTAACTGCAGTAACTGAGCTAAAACTGTCCTGTGGAGCGTGTGACTCAGTTTCCCCCTGATGGGACAGAGGGCTCAGGTGTTTGGACCAGCTGGTCTCTAAGTCCCACCTAGCACTGTTCTTCTAAAATCCCATTATTTTTAGGTTTGTTTACTTAGTTTACTCACTGAAATTAGTTAGACCATTAAAAGGAAATTCCCAGTCATTTTGACTCCGTGAGGTCGATGCAATGATCCAGAGTTAAACAGAATCCTTTCCATCACTTTGACAAGAAGTCTGGTTGGACCATTGACTGGTCATTTCCTTTTATGGCTTTATAATTGCCAGTTTCATCAGGGTGTATCGGGAAGATGACCATGGACCACTTTTCAAACAGGTAATTAAGTGAGTTTAAATATCAATTTCGGTCTCCTTTTCCTTTTCGGTCTGTTTTGCAGCGCCAGCCAGCTTTTGACACTTTTGATGGGTCCCTGTTTGCCATTTTCCCCTCTCTCAGTGAAGAGCAAACACTCCAAGAGGTGCCAACAGGCTTGGATTCCATTTCTCATGGTAATTTGTTACTCAGACTTGAGCAATCATGCATGATTTCCCATAGTTGAGTTACTAAAAACATGACCACTGGTAAGCGACAAAGGTTGGTGTCTTCAATCTTGGGTTTGAAAAGTCAGATGGTGACTGTGGAAAAGACGGTTTTCCTCCTTCATGAGCATGAGGGGCCCGATGTCATCCACCGCCAGACACACTCCAGACTGCAGCAGGGCCCTGAGATTTCCAGGGATGGGATGTTCTCATCCCTCTCGCAGACCCAAGCCCCTTGAAAGCAGACCATGAAAGTGCCCTCCAGTTTCTCATTCTGGAGTCTCACCATTAGGTTTGATCATCCCCCACCCCAGAGTCTTGGGGCAGCAAAATTATACGTGCCGGTCTGCATTTACTTCTCTAGTTCTTAATGTTGTTGTTTATGATTTTCTAAAGGGATAGCAGTCAGATAATGCCTATGCAATTACTGTGATAGGGTTATTAGTTGGAAACATTCCAGACATTACTTTGTCCTGTGAAGTAGGTGCTAGGAAATATAACCTAGAAAATTAATTAAAAAACATAGGCTTGCATAAGCCTGCCATCCCGAGCCAGCCATTGATCATTCTTGAAACTGCTGAGCGAATCCAGAGGAGATTTTCATTAAAAATTGCAGGTGCGCTGACTTTACAGGTGCTAGGAAGTCCCTTTGCCTGCTGCTTACTTTAATGGAAGCAGTGTTACACTGCACATTTGCCTCTCTTGAAACTTTTGACCAAAACCATTACTTTCCTTCAGTGTCCAAAAATTATCAAAGAGATTTAGATAGAAATTTCAACGAAGGGTAATTGGTTTTTTAATGATGTTCTGCAAAATAATTTGCAAAATAAAATAAAGCTTAAGTTCTATTTCAGTTTTTCTTATAAGTGTTGTTATGAGATGTATAATACTTTCTCAACTTCTGCTGCCCCATCCCCCAATTTTTGTTAATATTTATACTCTTTTAAAGAGTGCCATCAACAGGGCATCTGGGTGGCTCAGTGGGTTAGGCCTCTGCCTTTAGCTCAGGTCATGATCTCAGGGTCCTGGGATCGAGCCCCGCATCATGCTCTCTGCTCAGGAGGGAGCCTGCTTCCCCCTCTCTCTCTGCCTCTCTGCCTACTTGTGACCTCTCTCTCTGTCAAATAAATAAATAAAATCTTTAAAAAAAAAAAAATGCCATCAAGGTTTGCAATTGGAATTGTTCCTTCCTGAAAACTAAGATTTCTCCCCTAAATTCTCTCTCCAGTCTTGCCTGCTTAAAGTCCTAATGTCCCCCTGGGTTTTCTTTCTAGACTCTTCCAACTGTGAATTGCCTCTGTTAACTCCGTGCAGCAAGGCTGTCATGAGTCAAGCCTTAAAAGCTACCTTCAGTGGCTTCAAGAAGGAGCAGCGCCGCCTGGGCATCCCAAAGAGTAAGTGCTCTCCAGGCGTTTCCCTGAGTCCGTGTTGTAGGAGAACAACAAATCTGGCCGCGGTTGCCTGAGACGACTTTTTCTTCCATCTTTGCTTGGAGCATCTTGCAGGGCGGCAAGGATGTGGTTAACCTGAGCTGGTTTTTAGTTGGACCCTGTTGACTGAACACTTAATCCAGCACTGTTGTCAGGGTCTTAGAATTCCCCAGGGTGTCTTGCTTCTTTGGCCAGTCTTTGGAACGCGTCTGGACTTTGTGAGTAGATCCGGAGTAACTCCGTTTTCTCCCTGTGTTCCGTCTTTGCTTCCCTCCCCGGCAGACCCCTGGCTGTGGACCGAGCAGCAAGTGTGCCAGTGGCTTCTCTGGGCCACCAATGAGTTCAGCCTGGTCAATGTCAATTTCCAGAGGTTCGGCATGAATGGCCAGGTGTTGTGCAACCTGGGCAAGGAGCGCTTTCTGGAGCTGGCTCCCGATTTCGTGGGCGACATTCTCTGGGAGCATCTGGAGCAGATGATCAAAGGTACCCACCGAGGATCCGGGCGCCTCGCTGTTGGGGAGAGCCGTGGCGGGGAAGGGAGATGGGGGATCCGTGCTCCGCAGTCGTACGGTCGGGGTTTCCAATTGTGTGGAGCAAGATTGCCTGAGAATGCCACCAAGTGAGTCAAATATGTGACAGCGATTATAGGTTTTTTAATCTGTGTGTGTCTGGCATCAAGGATAGCCACCAGGCAATAACCTTAGTCACTACCTTGTTGACAGTGATCCGATGGCTTGCATCAGGGGCCTACGTGTTGCCTCAGATATGGGAGGCCAGCAAGTCCCGTGTTTCGTGGCTCACCTTATGGAACCCAAAGAAGAAAGTCAGCCTCAATGAAAGGGAGCCTTTATTCAGACAAACTCTGTGAATTTGACCATGAATTTTCCTAAGACCAAATGGAATCCAGCAGCAAGAATTTCTTCTGGTTTTATGTATTTAAACACAGGCAAACATAATTGATGCATATTTATATACTGACATTACACAGACTGGCCATTGAACAAAAGAACTCATCATATAGAAAGTTTTGGTTTAGACCTTACGAGAGTGTTGACAGCAGTATTAAAAATATATCTAGTTAAAAAGGAGAGGAAAAAAAGCTATAGTGAGGGGTTAGGTTAAAAATATGAGAAAACTAGTTCTTTGGTCGAGTTCAGAGCAATAGTCCTCATTCACTTGGTTTCAAACACTGAGTTTCAACACTGTTTACAGACTCAGAATCTTTAAAAGACCTTAGGATTCAGCCACCCTTTCCTGGCTGTGGCTTCTGGGGGCCAAGGACACTTATGTTTGGAGACCCCCAAATTCTCCCTGAATTTGAACAAGTCTGATTGGACAAGTTTCTGGTAGATCTATTCACTGGCAGGTTGGGCCTGTTTTGCCATCACTCGGGCTGTAAGTCTGAGGGTCTGGATTTGTGGGTATGCGTGGTTCAGTGTGTTTGTAGGAAGTAAGCACACACCAAGAATACTAACCTTTTCCTTTTCAAGGTCCCGGTGCACCGTGGCACCTTCAGGGTCCCACATCACTGCTGGCCTCTCTGTGCCAAGCTCATCTCACCCTGGAGAAACGTGGGGTTTGAAGCCATGACCCCTAACCTCAAGCGGGCAGGAGCTGGGTCCGCTTTACTAACCCACTGTATTCCCAGCCCCTGGGACACGTGGCACTTCATAAATATTTAACTGTCTGTTGTTGGCACAGATGAATTAAAATCACAGTGTAGATATTTAAAATTATGCAGCAGAACATTTCACTTGGCCAGTGATAGCATTCATTCTGGAAAACTTATTCCGGATATTAGAAAGTGTGTTGCCATCTCTAGTGTTTGAAAAAGACCAAGTGACACCAAATCCCGTCAGCCTAAATATGAAACATAAATGCATTTAATTATCCTAAAATAACCATATAGCAGTAGTTTAGAAATCAACATTCTTTCTTGCATAGTTTTAACCTCGATTTGCAATCCTGTTTTCCAGAAAACCAAGAAAAGTCAGAAGATCAGTATGAAGAAAATTCACACCTCAACTCAGTCCCTCATTGGATTAATAGCAATTCACTAGGTCAGTCCAATCAGTTCTGCCCTGAAGACCTTGGTGTCAACTTTTTCTATTAAATTGGGACTCCCACCCCCGCAAAATAAATCAATAAAATAAAAATAAATTTGTGGAAGGTCCAAAGGCCAGTCTCAGCCTGCGCGGTCCCATTGGGCGACCACATGTGGATGTTGAGCCACTGAACACTTGAAACGTGGCTGGTCCACGTGGACACATGTGGTAAGAATATAAGCTTAATGAAACAAAGAACATAAAATGCCTCCTTAATCAATTTTAAGATACTGATTACATGTTAAAATGATAATTGGTAATACAGGGACAGGTAAAATATTAAAAGTAATTTCACCTGTTTCTTTTTAGTTTGCTTCTGTGGCTTCTAGAAGATGTGACATTGCCTACATGGCTGTGTTATACATTGGCCAGTGCTGTCCGAGGCAGTTCAGAGAGCCCGGCGTGGAAGGAATGAGCTGATGAGCTGTGGGCCGAGCTAGCGTAATAAGTTGGGGTCCAGGCACAGGAGGCATGTAGAAAGCAAATCTGAGTTTGCTCTGATCTTTGGAGTTTAAAAAAGTGTCCTGGAATTCGGGTCTTTCCTGATGAGTGTAGGTTACAGGGCAGGAGGGGGGGACCCTAGCCAGCAGAGGGAGGGGATGTTCCTTACAAGTCACATACTGGCTGGCAAATCGCTCGGTCTCTCTGAGCCTTATTGCCCTCGGAAGTGGAAAGAGCCAGTGACCTGCACCACCCCGAGAGTCGCATGAAAGCGTTTGATAACCTAGAGCTGTAGAAATGCTCATGTCGAGGGTGTCGCATCGTGGTCCAGAGGCAGCAGGCATTTGGGCAAAGGGCTTATCGGCCGAGAGTGGGAACGGCTTGAGAAGAGGAGCTGGCGGGAAAGCCACCTGCCAAAGCCCGTGCGGTTTCGGAGAGGGTTAGAGCGTGCAGAACTGGGTGCATTTGATTTGGTTCAAGGGCACGGAGGGTCTCTGATGACCCCGTCGCTCCTGCCTCATAGCTCTGCCATCCGATTGTTCTATCCCAGGCTTCGGCATGGAGCAGGCAGCGTATGGCGTGCAGACCCAGAACTATCCCAAAGGTGGCCTCCTGGACGTGTGTCCATCCTCCTCAGCACCCAGCATGCTCAGTTCTGAGCAGGAGTTTCAGATGCTCCCTAAGTCTCGACTCAGCACCGTCAGCGTCAACTACTGCCCCGTCGGTCAGGACTTCCCGAGCGGCAACTTGAACCTGCTCGCCGGCGGTTCCGGTAAGTCAGGCTCCCGAGAGCTCTGTCAGCCAGGTGGGTGGGTTGCTGCCAGGAGCCACAGTAGAACAGAGACAGGAGCTCCTTAAGCAGTGCAGCCTGTGTTCAGCCGTTGGAGGAGGTCAGACGCTCCTCTGCGTCCTGAGCAGCTGTCCTGCGCTGTCCCCGCAGGGGACGAATTTGCTCTCATGCGTGGACTCCTGCTGTGTTTTAGGCTCTGGGCTGGGCGCTGCAGGGACTGAGTGAATGAGACAGGGCCCCTGCTGTTGCAGCGGGATCCCCCCCGCCACTGCGGTGGGATATTTTGGGAGAAGGTGCAGGAACATGACATTCCCACAGTCCACAGCTTCCCCACACCAGGAGGAAACCACTGTCTTGACTTTTGTCCTCATAGATCCGTTTTTCCTGTCCTTGAGCTTCATAGAAACAGAATCCTTGCATTACGTTTTCTTTCGTGTTGGCCTTTTGCTCCTCATGTGTCTGAGACCCAGCCATGCTGTTGGATGGGGCACACGGTTGCTCTTTTCATTGCTGTATAATACTCCATCCCGTGAGGACGTGCTCCCCTCCCCCCACCGTGCTGCTGTGGTGGAGGTTGTCATTGTATAGGGCATTTGTCGTAAGGAGTGAGTGCCTGGCGAGAAGTCCGGGACTCTGCACCAGCGGGCTGTAGGCACAGTGGGGTCGCTGCAGCCCCCAGACCGGCCTGTGGGACCCACGCGCCCACCCCCCGCCCCCATTGCTCAGCAGCACCAGTCGATTCGCTGTTGTGGAGAGTCAGCGTTTGTGCCCGGCTGTGTTTGCCAGGGAAGCCCCGGGACCACGACTCCCCCGAGAACGGCACGGACAGCTTCGAGAGCTCTGACTCGCTGCTGCAGTCCTGGAACAGCCAGTCGTCGCTGCTTGACGTGCAGCGAGTGCCGTCCTTCGAGAGCTTCGAGGATGACTGCAGCCAGTCCCTGTGCCTCAGTAAGCCGACCATGTCCTTCAAGGACTACATCCAGGAGAGGAGCGACCCGGTGGAGCAGGGCAAACCGGTTATACCCGCGGCAGTGCTGGCTGGCTTCACGGGTGAGTGCGTCACACCGAATTCCCCGTGCCCTCCCCGAGGCCCTGCCCCATCGCCGCGTTCCTCCAGGCTATTTCTGGTCCAAGCACGTTGTAGCTACGGCCCACACTTGGTGCGTGGCTGTCACCCTGAGTCAGGCAGGCTGTACCCCTGAATCCTAAAAAGGCCGAGCTCGCGCGAATCGTCGCGCACAGTGGCATGGATGGGAGCCCACAGGCCGCCCTCTCGCCTGGGATGTGCTCAGCCAGCCTGGAGAGGAGCAGGCATGGGGGTCCCGGGCCCATGGAGGCCTCAGCTCTGACTCACCCACCCCACAAATCCCAAAGAATGTAAACTGGCCCAGGGAGGGACGGCAGAGCCAGCCTCAAACATCACGGGGACTGTTTACCTTTGCTTGCTTCTAAAATCCATTTTATTTTTAAGATTTGGGCGAGAGCTATTTTAGGCAAAGGACAAATATTAAAGCTGTTTTTAGAATCAAATATTTCCAGTACTTTAGCAAAAACAGCAAGTTTTTTTTTTCATTGCTTCATGGGTCTTTAAATGTGTTTTTTTCCTATTTTGACCATATGGAGCCACTGGATTAAAAAATGCCTACTTAAAATATTCAGTACAGAAGCAGCCACTTTTTTATTTTTTGTCATCCCAAACACCCACAGGAACGGGGTTGGTAAGAAAATAAACAGCCATGGTGTGACTGTCTTTCTTCTTTTTTTTTTTTAAGGTTTTAAATGTATGTATGTATGTATTTATTTATTTATTTATTGAGAAAGAGGATCGCGGAAGCCTATGCAAGCACGTGGTGGGGAGGGGGGCCAGGGACAGGGAGAGAGAGAATCCAGAACAGACTCCCCGCTGAGCACGGATCCCAACACGGCTCGACCTCACGACCCTGAGCTCGTGACCTGAGCCAAAATCAAGACCCAGATGCTCAACCGACTGAGCCATCCAGGCACCCCTTGCTGTTTTTCATTTGAATATTGGTTACCATTTGTTGACTGTCAGCTCTGTGCGGTTAACTAGGCATATATAGTTGCTTGTCCTTGGAGCAGCCCAGCAGGGGTGGGCGTTACCCTGTTGGACCCATGGGACAGTTGGTTCAGAGGCAGACAGCTCTCCATGGTCACATGGGTAACCTGGTTGTGCCTGGTTCCAGCACTCCCGTCCTTAGTTCTTTACAGCCTCATTGCTGATGGCCACTGGGTCTTGAGGAACGACTGTTCCATGGGTGTGTGATCTCGGGCGGGGCACCTTGCCTCTGAGCTGTTCCTCATCTTTAAAATAGTTCCTCACAAGACAGCGGTTCTAAATATCAATCCAGAAAAGGCATATGAAAACCAAAGTACCTCACCAGAGCCAGTGAGGCCGTGGAGGCCACCCCAGGTGCCCAAGTGGCGTTGAGTAAACCAAGTCTCGGATTAGGCAATTTACCCGCCGTCGTTTGGCAGGAAGGCCGCAGCCTGGGATTCCATGAGACGTGCCTCCTTCTGTGGCGAAATGCCCTTTCAGCCACCCCCACCCCGGTCCCATTGGGTGGTTCTAGAAAGGAACCCTGAAACTTATTACACAAGAAGCAATTAAACAGGATGAGGAATTTTTTATTTTTTTAAGATTTCATTTTTAAATCATCTCTACACCCAGCTTGGGGCTCCAACTCGCAGCCAGTCCCCGGCTCTACCCACTGAGCTAGCCAGGCACCCCCAGAATGAGGAATTTTAAGGTCAAGAGTTGGTGGCCCTGAATTTTCTTCCAGAAAGACCTGACTCAGCAACCAAGGGCATGAAGTGCCCACTTTTTCAGGAGGGGGAGGGAGGAAGGGAGACCCCAGAATGTGTGTCTAGCCTGATGCCATTAAAGCGGTCCGTCCTGTCACCACGCTTGGGAGATGTGCCTTCATGTTGGCTCCCTGCGCAGAGTAGGGGCTCCCGTTCCTCCGTCAGCCTGTTCCATTAGAAAGGCTCAAAGCCTTGCCATACTTCAAATCTATAAAAACATACAACTCGCCCCTTTCCCCCAGGAAGTGGACCTATTCAGCTGTGGCAGTTTCTCCTGGAATTGCTCTCAGACAAATCCTGCCAGCCATTCATCAGCTGGACCGGGGACGGCTGGGAGTTCAAGCTCGCGGACCCTGACGAGGTATAGCCAGCGCTTGGGAAGTCAGTGTCTGGGCTTTGAACCCTGATTTCCTCACTCTGGGCTCACAGATTCGGTTCTCGGGGCCCACAGAAGGGCTCCCCGCTGCACCTGAGTTCTAGCATTCTCTGGGTATGTGTGTGGGCACAGGGCAGGCTTCTGCGAGTTGCTCTCATCTGATAAAAAGGCCCAGGTGCTAAGTGAGGTTGTCTTCTGACCATCTGAAAATGCCTTAGGAATGTGCCTTTTCCCACTGGTGGGGAATGAGCCTCCCGGCAGCCCGGGCTGGTCCTCTGGCCGGTGCCGTTCTGCCACGCTCAGCTCAGGCACTCGGAAACCCTGGAGGGGAAGGCCAAGGGCAGATGCCATACTCTCCCCTCCAGGACAATGTTAAAGAAGCCTGTGATCTTGGGTCGCCTTAGAGTGCAAGCTTTCGCCGCTGGCTCACTCCGATCCCCTGGGGAAGCAGAAGCCTTAGAGAACGCAGAATGTCACAGGGCTCAGAGCCCCACCCAGCATCTGTTGACTGTGGGGCTCGGAGGGGAGAGACACTACTTCCCGCCTGGTTGAGAATGCTTGTCCCGGGCATGAAACCTTGCTGCACAGGAGGGGACAAGAGGGGCCGGTGCTGTGGGCGGGGAACCCCCACTCTCCCACCTGCCCTGCTTCCGTCCTCAGAGAGGCAGCAAGGGACTCCGTGCCGCTGCAGGTGCTGGGACACACCACACCCTTGGGCCCCTTCTGTAGTGCTCAGGTCCTCTGGGGGCAGCAGACATGAGACTCCTCGCTGGGGGCGGGTCATTCATTTTCCTGAATTGCAGATTTGAACTCTTCTCCCCCCTGTGCCTGCTGCAGGTGGCCCGCCGGTGGGGAAAAAGGAAAAACAAGCCCAAGATGAACTATGAGAAGCTGAGCCGGGGGCTGCGCTATTACTACGACAAGAACATCATCCACAAGACGTCGGGGAAGCGCTACGTGTACCGCTTCGTGTGTGACCTGCAGAACTTGCTGGGCTTCGCCCCCGAGGAGCTGCACGCCATCCTGGGCGTCCAGCCGGACACAGAGGACTGAGGCCCGCGGGGGGCTGCGAGTGCGGCCATCCGACCCACCGCTCCAGTGACCCTGAAAGGCGGGATTGGACGCATCCAGGAGAGTCCCCAAGAAGCAGTGGCCTTATTTCACTGGAAACCACGGCTTTTCACCCAAAGCAGCATGGTTTCTCACTTGTAAAGCCCACTGACGGGAACGGGCTATGTATGATGCTATGACCTCAGAGTGGCCACGAAAGAAGTGCTGGGAAGCCGTCCTGGCTCTGAGCAGGCCATGTGACAGGGACGTGCAGGCCGTGGGATAGTCTCCAAGGAGCGAGCGTGTCTCGGGCACACGCATTTTCGCTTTTTTTTTTTTTTTTTTTTTTTTAATGTTCTTTTGCCTTTGGCTGCCAGGAATCACAAAGGCAGAAGCGGTCTCTTTGGTTCAGCGAGGCGGAGGGTGTGGGGAGACAGCTGTGCCATTTCAGAAGTTAGTTTGTATATATGACTGTAATCTTAATAATTGTTGTCAAAATCCTCTCAGAGTCCTATTTAACGAGAACTGTATATTGTAATTTAAAATACTTCTGTACGTGTATTGGAAAGATCGCAGACACCCGGTGTCTCTGCGGTTCCAAGGAGCGCTCACCGCGTTCCGCAAGCCCGGGGTCTGCGCAGGTGGACGGAGGAGTTGTAAAGTGTGTATTATTTACATTTAACATGCCTACAGGTAGACATTGAAGAGGGTCAGTCCCTGTTTCTGTTTGGTTTTGCCTGGATGATTACCTGGCAAGACTTTGTACATTTGGGAATTTTTATAAAACACTTAATGTTATTATCCGGAGGCCCATCCCGCCTCTGCCTTCTCCTTAATTGTAATGTAAAAGCTATAAAGCGGTATTTTTCTTGACAAATGGCATCTGTTTTCCATTTCTGTGCATGCCTTTAAATCCGTTTATACACAAGACTGATTTTATTTTTTAGTTCAACTGTGTTTCCCCAACAACTAACCTCCCCGACCAGCCGTTTCCTCCCCTTGCCCCACCTCCGCACCCCAAATTATCCTGTATGATTAAAATAAGAATGCTATTTTTGGAAATATGTGGCTCCTTTTCAGAGAGCAGGAGGAATTTATGTAGCAGCTACTTTGACTGCAAGTAACTCACTGGAAAAAATGTAATTTGTAAGAAAGCTTTATTTTTATCTGCACTCCATGGGAAGTTAAACATGTCATCCAGAGTGGAAGCCCGGGGCAGGTGGGGGACAGGAAGGGGGGGATCTTCGGGAAGCCTCTTGGTCGTGAACAGAACACGACTTTTCCCTCAAGCTGTCGAGGCCCGGGCTATCTGGACACCGTGCCGCTCCTTGCTGCTCAGTGCCCAAGCTCTGTGTTCCTGTTTCCGTGGATGCAGAATGTCCAGAGGCGAAGAGAGGACAAGCGAGATGGGAAAGAGAATCCATTGGAAGATTCAATGTGAAAAATATTTTGCTCGCCGTGGAGACTGTCGTGGTTGTTTTAAAGGACCCCTGGGGTGGGCCTGCATCCAGGGTGCTTGAAACAGATCAAGCCAATGTGATTTCAGAGCCACACGGGCTTCCCTCGCAGTGCAGGGCTGTGCAGGGAGCGCTGGGAGCTGTGGTTGACGTCCCCAGGGAAGAGTCCGTCCCTGCGATGAGGCTGCGGGACTGGGTGGTGGGGCTGGCTGGGCAGACCAGCGCCGGGGCTGGAGGACTCAGTCCCAGCACCCACAGGAGACCATGTCCAGTGTCCAAGCACAGGACGTTTTTCTCAAGCAGGACATGTTTATCACTGAGACATCTGTTTATAACATCCCCAGACATGTGACGGGGACCATCTGGCTGCCAAAGGGAATCTTAGCCTTCGGCTCGTTTTATGTGGGGTTGAACCAAACGAAATTGCCAATATTTGACTTTTTTTATCTACAAAGTTGGCAGTTTCATGTGATTCAGCCTAATAGTTACAGAAACTAAAGCCCATGGTAACCCTTTGGTGTGGTAATGCACAGACCTAAGGATAAAGATTTTGTAATCTGGCCTTTCCTTTCTCAAATAATAAAGTATTTTGTTTATATAAACGCCTCCTTGTAAGGGTTCTTTTGTCCCACCCCAGCAGGGAGGGAGGAGGGGAGGCAGAGTGAGGATAGTGAACCCTGACCCATGGTCCCCCCGCAGTTTCCAGTCTACTGAGACTCCCATCTCCATTTAACTGGTTTTACACATGGGGTCACCCAGCAAATCATGACCAAGCTGCAACCCAGCTGTAAGCTCTTCCTGAAGGAACCACCCCCCCGAAAAAGTGTTCCCCTAAATCAAAAAATGCTTTTAAGAAGGGATTAGAATAGAAAGATGCAGTTGTCTTGTTTTTGCCAAGGAATTGGCAAAGGTAACAGAAGAAATTGTTGGATGCTTCTGTGAGGAACCCATTAGGGTTTGAGGCTCAGGGACTTTCGCCGCGATGCCTGACGATCTGATTTACTAGAGGTGAGGGTGATAGTCCTGGGATGTGGGTTCTCAAACACATTTCAAAGTTAGTGATGAGGCCAGCAAACAGGTGGGCTACATCAGAGGTGTGCAGGAGCCCCTCCCCATGTGCTGGTGAATTGCAACAGTGACGTATTGGTATCTTCAATGTGATCAAGATGAGAGTATTTCTGTCATAAAATTGGCAGACCCTACAAATCAGGGCTCCTTTCAAGCCCCCTCAGGGAGCTGGTTCTTAAAACAGTTATCAGAACACCACTGGTCACCAGTGTTCACTGTATTAGAAATTAGAAAACCTTTTAAAATGCAATTACTTTTTTAAAATAACATTAATGCTTTTGTGGAAAATAACTTTTTCCCAAAAAGTGAGTGTGGCATTGTTTTGCATGTTTTCAGATTTCCTTGATGATGTCTCGTTTAAAAGAAGGGAGCTGGGTTCTTGAATATTCTTCCACATTTTGTCTTGTGATATATTTTGAAGGAAATCAGGCCTCACACAGCTATGTAATCGAACAAAGGAGCATTCGGGAGACATACACTACACCAAACCTGGCAAATGCAAGTTTCTTCAAAGTTCATTGCAGTTAGAATGTGAAACCATATCAATAAACTTTCCTATGATTATAATAAATTCCACTGCTCTGCCTTGCACTTTGAATGGATCCTTCACCCATGTGTGATTTTTTAACATCATGCATTAGTCATTTGGAAAATATTGCTTCAAAATGTTGACCCATTTCAACAGCTAATGTCAAATGATCACCTTAGTTGCTGTCATCATAACTTTTACCCGAAAAGTATTGGGAATCTACCAAGCTCACAATAGCAGATGTAAGTTTTCAAAAATTCAGATTTTCATTTGAAAGCTCAAATGTTATCATTGGCAACAAACACTTTATGTTGCCCTCTTTGAAGTGACAGACTCATTTCATTTCCTTTTGAGGACATAACTGTCAGATACCCAATAGATATAACTTGTCTGTTGTTCTTGCAGGCAAAAATGGTGTCCCCGGACAAAGTGATTAGTTTAACTCACAACTCACACAAATGCAGGACAGCATTTCCCAGGACAGCCCACCTACCTTAGTGTGCAGCAGTCCTTTACGCGCACCACTGATTACCTAGAAGTTAAAAAGATGTGTATTCACTTATGAAGAAAATTAGTTTTTACTGCTTTATCGAGTTCCTTTTTTTTTGTTATTTTTGTGATTTTTATTCTGTTATTTTTGTTTTCCACTGAGCACACAATGGTAAAGAAGACAGTGATGGCTGTCTTAACAGTTTAGTGCTAAGGCCCCAGCAGTTTTACCCACCTTTGCTTTGCTTTTGCAAAGGTGACATTGAGGATCCCCTGAAAGGGTGCCAGAGCCCCACAGTTGTCTATGGACCTCACTCTGAGAACTCTTCTAGAAAGCCAAGCAGCTCATCCAGAACACAGACTGGAACAGGAAGCAGGAAGGTGACCAGGAGTCAGGGGAAGAGAATTTTCCTTTCTCCTCTTGGATCCAGGGTCCATCCTTCCAATATTACCCTGCCATAGCCAGTTAAGAGGAGCAGTTTTATTAAAAAAAAAAAAAAAAAAAAAAAAAAAGAATTATCTAATGTTTTACATGATAAGGAAAAAGTTCACTCACAGGTGAGACAGATATTCTCAAAGACCTTCTCCTCCCATCTTTCACTCTGTCTGTCCTTTTCCACGTGTCACTCCAGTTCTAAATCTTTTGTAATGTAGTATATTTCACCATATTTTAAAAGCTCATTTTTCTTAACACAGTCAAAACAGGTCATAAAGAGACGAGGTGCACGTGGCCTGTCTCCCAGCTCGTCCACATGGAGGTGAAGGAGCAAACTTAAATTGTCCCTAGGCCACACCGTGTCCCGGTTCTCCCCCCGTGCAGGGGCCCCCGAGGACCTCAGATCTCCAAATAGTGGACACTCATGAGCAGTAGTGATTCGGAGCCTGAAGGAGCTGCTCTGTCGGTCGTGTGACGTGCAGGATGTGGGGCCAGAGCAGGTGGACAAGGAACAGGGGGACACGGAGGGTAGTAACTCGCTTCATCACCTCTTTGGAAAAATCAAGCAAGTTGGCTGTAGGGTTTATTGTGCTTTGGCCTGAACTTGAATTATCATTCTCACCCGGCAGTCATGCACTGCTGTGTGACCTTGGACATGTAACTTCATCACTCTGTGCCTCAGTTTCCCCTCCAGAAAGTGGAGTCATTGGGTGGCAGCGGATGGATGTATCTTTCATTTTTTAAGATGGCGAGAAGTCAGTGACTCGGCACCGGGCGGGGAGGGGGGTACTCCATTTAAGTCACGAGCAAAGCATTCCAGCAGGGGTCTCTGAAGAAAACACGGCGCCCGGCAGTCATGTCTGTTTTCATATGAAGAAACCCAGGCACAGAGTTCAGTGATAAAGCTGGCACTTACCTCAATCAGGGCTCAGACATAGGCCTTCCATTTCTCAATGTTGTCCTTTTGCCGTGATAACTGCACTGTGTTTTGTTTAAGTCATTATAAATCCTACCCAGGGACTCCCCCAAGCTTCTAGTTCCTTTTCCTGTTCTGTTTTAAACAGAGTACACAGCCCTTGATTTGAATTTTTAAATTATCCATGAGCCTCCTACCCAAAGGACACCCAGTCCTCATACACACAGCAGCTGGAGGCAGCTAGTTTAGTTTGAACAGATGCTTGAATCCCATAATCTGGGCCAGATGTTAATTTATCTTTTCTGTAATCACCCCACAGAAGAGTGAGGCTGGAAGCAGTGAAGGGGGAAATCCCTTATTGTGTAATTCTTTTGAAACTCCTGGGCAGGGTTTGAACATGTGATTCTACTTGAAATCTGACATTAACGGAAATACCATTTTTGGTCATAGTTGGTGACGACACCTTCACAACTGGAATTGACATTGCCTTTGTTCATCTACTATGAGTAACTGCCCCATTCTGGCCTCCCAAAGTCATGCTCAGATGGCAAGATAGCCCAGGATTGCCAGATCTGACCCCCACCAGCAGTTTCCATGTCTATGGCCTCATACTCTACGAGTAGATAGCCAGGACTCAACACCCAGATGGAAATGCTGATTCATGGGAGCCCGTGGCCTGGGTTGGTTGGAGGATAACATGTCCTGGGGATGCTGGGGATGTCAAATGGCACACAGAGCATGAGGTCTTGCATGAGGTCTCAAGCAAGAGTATCCTGCATTGGCTATGGTCCATCTCCATGGTCCAAGTCCATGAGAAGCACTGTCACCATTTGCTCATAAACTCCACCAAATTGTCTACTGAAGACTTTATTTTTCATCACAGTGCAAACATATAATTAATAATTGTGAAATACGGTAGCATTGGCAAGTCTCAATTTCATCCATCATCTCCCTGGGACTCTGGGAGGTCGGTTTCATTATGTTCATTTTACAGATGTGGGAAGTGAGGCTCAGCAAGGTTAAAGCCCTATGTTGAAACTAGAGGGACTTCTTCCAGACTCAGCAGTGGTCCCTGATCCATCATGCCTGTGGACTCCAGCTTGGGGGTGGTGGACGCCTCCAGGGGCTGGAACCCAGAGTGGCCAGCGCAGCTGAGGGGCTGG